TGCAGATATTCTTTTCAGCTGCAGGGACCTAACTTTGCCCAGAGGATCAAAAAAGTTAATCTTGCAAGTAATCCTAAATATTCTTGCTGCACTAATGCAATACAGCAGCAGGTACAGAGGATGTCCACAATTACTACCTCTGTACATTTAGGTATAATGTAAGAAAGGAAGCACTGTGTCAGACCAAAAATAGGCCACAGTCCAAGCCACATATATGAACAACTGAGGGGCAGGTAAAGTAAAGCTCAGTTTACTCAGTTTTAAATCAGAGCAAAGACAGTGTACTCTATTCTGCTCACATTTATCAAGCAACTGAAACAAGTGGCTGTTAATGTGATAGTGCTGAGTCAACTGAATATTTGTTTGAAGATAAACAAGCATTTCACTGTTTCACTTGTCACGCACAAACACACAAAAATTCAGATACACACACACACACACTCCAAATATACAGTATGCACCTTAACAACACACAAACACTGTACCAACCAGTCTCACATCCTGTCTCCATTTTCACACACTGAGGTCAACCAGTCTGTTTCTCCACCCTCTGTCTGCACTGTGGTTTAACTTGCTGGTTTTCTCACATTGCTCAAAGGTACTGTGTCAGTCTGTGTATTTCAGTTTGAAAAACATGGCTCTAACTTGCAATATTACAGAGGTAGAAGAAGTGACAGTCAGGCTATATGCTTATATCTATTTTGAAAGAAAAGTGCTACCTGATGTTTTTTGCTTAATGTTGTCTCCTTGTCCTCTTAAGTCTTACTGTTTTGGAAACAAACATCTTGAATGAACTGATAATTTTAAACTAAATTTACAGCTAGCTTGACATTGATGTCAGCACTTAGTTCACCACAGTAGGCGTTAAATCTTAAAAAAGGGCAGATGTCTAATTGCTCACATGGGTGGACTTGTACTGTCTTGTTACAGAGCAGCATTGTGGTGAATGCAGTGGTTAGGATAATGGATTCCTGCTAAAAAAGCAGCATGCCATTGATTTCTATGGGAACACTATCTGTGACAGAGCTCAAAGATTGGGCTCAGTCTTACTGTATGTTGTAAAATTGGTCAATCTGTTTCTAGGGAAAGTGAAATGCTATTTTTTTGTTAGTCCACTGAGAAGACACTTCTTTTAATTTGAACTAATTTTTTATAACTTTTCCCAAGATGCCAAGCTGTTGCGTACCCTGCTGTCTAATTCAAGATGGAGTGACAAATATGCTTGACACAGATTCTGCCAAGCATTCAAAATAGAAGTCTTGCATACATTTCACTGAATATTTTACAGTCTGAGAATCAAAATCAAATGTAATTATAAAGTTACAACATCTTGATGTGTGCCTATGGTTTTGAAGTGAGGCAGCTATAAAGTTAAAGTTTTCAACAACATTTTCCTAAAGTCAGTTATCCTCCATCTGTCTTGGCTAGCCTTCCTATGTTTGAAGCCAGCCCCGCTGTGGCATTTCCCATAATAAACTTATGGTGGCAGTGATGCATTGCCCGTTTAAAATTACAGCACTGATGAAAAGACAACAACCAAGCCCTCCCGTGATGCAGCAAAGTTCATCAGCCACATTAATAAACTCTCATTTTCACCGCTTTAAAAGCCCATCATATTTACCAGAAACACCTCAGCGTGTACAACAGAGCATATGACAGCATGAACACCACTACTGCCACACTCTTATTCAACACCAGTGTGTCAGCAGGCAACACTTTGGGGTAATGTTGATGTTAATGAAACTCTAGAAAATCAACATGTTTTTTAGCAATTGTTTGACCAAATAAACATTGGCATCAACCCCTGACCTGAGGCACAGATGTCCACATGAAATTAAATGAAACTACATACATACAGAACCACAGTCAAACACTAATAACACTTTATAATGAAAACATAAACTGATAAGCATGATTTTATTAAGAATCTGACAAGACTGAAATACTGTATTATAAAACCATCTTAATGTGCAGCCACTTAAGGTGCTTTATATTGGCCTCTAATGTGAAGTTTCCTGTGTTTGTCCTAAACTCACACTGATCCCATCAGTGGTACTTGTGTTTAGGTGACACCCAGTGTCTCAGAGTTAACAGTTAGTCAAACAGACCCACAGATGTTAATATTTATTCAGACAGAGCAAATGGTGCGTTAATATTGCCTCAGGGTGTCTAGACCTCAGTCCATTAACGTCACTCTACACCAGGGACAGAAAGAGGAAGAGGAGGGGGGAGTAAGAGGAAGAGATGGAGTGAGGAAGGAGGGGAGAAAGAGAAGGATGTATAAGCAATATGTAAGGAGGAGGGAAAGCGAGAGTTAGATTGAGTGGTATTGTGATGCAACATTAACCATCAAAAACAACAGACAACAACAGACTTCCATTAAAACAGTTGCTAGAAGGCAGAAATGAACAGAAGGGAGATTAGTTAGTGAAAAAGAGACAGGTCAAAACAGAAATGAAGACACACATGGAGAGGAGGATCAAAAGAGAGAGAGGGCATAGACTAGTGAGAGGAACAAATAAATGTATGGTTCCTTGTTTAAAATTCTATACTTTTTCTGGACATCATTGTCTTGGCTAAAATGTTAGAACACTCAATATGAACAGGACCTGTCAGAATTTGTGTGCAGTTTCCAAACTTTTCAAACTGTCCAACACCTGAGTGATTGTTTTTTTTCATACTTGTCAAGACATTTGCAGATCTGCACAGGAATGCCAGGAATGAGAAAGAGGGAGGAAAGGAGGGAGGGAAATGAGAGGATGAAGGAGGGAGAAAGAGGTTCAGGCAAAGGTGGTGTGTGTGTGTGTGTGTGTTTTGGGGGGTCAGGCAGTGACAGTAGACAGCGTAGTTCTGTGATGGCAGGATACTGGATCAGATTGCAGCCTGAGCTCCCCCAGTACACCCAGTACAATGTGCCGCTCTGTTCCCTGCTGCCTGCCCAGCTCACATCTGCAGCCGGGGCCCTTCCTGCCTGGAGGACCACAATCACAACAAAAACACACCCACAAAAATAACACACAGGGCCACAGAAGTACACACACAGCCTAGGCAGGGAAAACTGCACCAATACACCTCAAGGGACAAGAAGTGTAAATATGAAACTAGACAAGGTAGAAAAACAGAAAGCCAATGGGCACCAACTCTCTCTCTTTACTCTCTTTCTTTTCCTTCTTCCCACTCCATCAGTCTTTCTTACCATAAGCGCTCACAGATGGCGGTAGCCCTTTGATGTAAATGTGGGCCAATTACACTGCTGTCATTAAGACAGGAAACAGGGCTCCTAGGCACGTGAGGGTAGTTAAAATGGGTGCTGTAGGTAAAAATTACAGTAGCTCATACAGTTATCCCCACTGACAGCTGCACTGACTGAAATGAAAAAGGCCATTTTCAGTACACTCTGATAATAACAGTGCCTTAATGACTATGATGTTGGTGATAGACTTAATTTAATCTGAAAATGTTCTAATAGTGGGGCGAATTTTTTTCTGATGTATTTATGTATTTATATACCGCACAAGCAGCTAAACTGAATTAACCTTTTTACCACTGAACACAGGGATTGTGAGATTAGGTGTGCAAATCTAATTTTGAAATTGTGTCGGTATACTAAGTTTAAATAAGTCTCTACAATGCTTAAAAACTGTGATCAGTAAAACTGATTAATGTTACCATATATTTCTGATGATCTTCAAAATACCAACTTGATTTTACTGAACACTACATCATTTCTAAAGTAATCTATTCGGATTCTAATCAGTCAAAATATTTAATTGAGGAAGTAAAAATTAAATAAAGACATGCTGTTTTGTGTATAATGGGGCCCTGTTTGATGGGGTGGATCTACTTTTTCAACAGGTGCCCCAGGGCTGAAACAATGCTATCACTGTTATACACCAACGCACTCAGCTCTACAGATCCACAACTGATCAAACCTGCAGACCACCAGCTTATTACACCCTGATAGAAAACATATGTGATACCCAGGTTGGCAGTCCCACTGTAAAACGAGGTGTGCTGCTAAAACCACAGTATTTTTCAGTAGTGTTTTTGTTTCTGTAGTTCTGTAGTTCCTCTCAGCCACCACTAGATGGAGCTAAAGCAGATTTAATGAACTTAGTGACAGGACAGAGTACATTCAATGTCTGTTTAAGAGTTTTGGAACCACATGATGTTACACACACACACACACACACACACACACATAGGTGTTTACATGTACACACACTATGCAAACACAAGTGCTTACAGGAGTGAGAGATAAACAATGCTAATGCTTACTTAACAAGTCTGTACATTCTGGGGTAAACAACTTGACTAACAGAACACACACACACA